TAAAACACTTTTTTCAAAGTTAATATAAATAAATTTTGTCTTCCGAGTGTTGATCGATATATTATTAATTCTTTCGAGGAATTATAGAAGAAAATTGTAAAAGTATCTGTAAAAAGTTTCATTCTAATCTATTAAATTTTAGCACGTTACAATGGGAAAAAAGCGGTAGACCGTTAATTACACTCGCAAAGATGAATCTATAGGAGACTATGGGGGGTACAGCTGGGTGGTCGCGCACAAGAAGTCGGGATGAAGAGTAACCGAACAGTTCGTTCCTTTTGGATCGATAAGGGTAGTAGGGCGGATTGGCCTTTTAGCTGAGGGTCGAGAAGGAAAGCGAGTGGTTTTTATAGCCGGCAAAAGGACAGGGAGGGTGTTTGGTATCCTCGGGTGCCTTACTCGACCAGAGTATCCCTAATATACGTCATCCGTTAGCGGTACTTTCCTACATCCCTCTCTCCACCGATCTCTCCTCCTTTTGGTCAGAAGTGGCCAAATCTACTTCCTCCTCCTCTTTATACATTTCGAGATCTCGAGTAGCCTTGTACAACTACTACACCCATAGATTGGTCCTCGGTTTCTTTTCCCTTTTTATATATATATATATATATATATATATATATATATATATATATATATATATATATATATATATACATATATACGAACATTACATATTTTTGCTCGATTTTTGTCATCGTTCATACGCGAGATCATTGAGAAACTTTTAACTCCCGATGGAGACGATCGATAAAATCGATCTTACTTACACCTCCCGTTACGCGGGTTTATCGTTGTACGCGAACAACGAAATTGGAAAACGTTTCCCAGACGTTTCGTCACTCGTTCAGAAATTCTCTTCTCGAAGAAGTCGGCCGAAAGAATCGCTACACTTGTTAAATCCGCATATACTTACGAGGTTATCGTCGGCTCCTACGCCACTGACAGGCACGTATTCAATTTGCGCGGTGAACGTATGCACGTTCACCTCGCGTAGATACGTACAACGTACCGCATGCCTCCGTTCCACCCCCTTTCCCTCTTTCGTTGACCCTCGCCAACCAGAGCGGCCAACACCTGCCCCGCGTTACCGAGCGTAGCGTAACGCGAGCTTGCACACTCGCGTGAATCCGCGCGAGAAACACTATATCCATTTAAACATGGATGCCTTGTGCGGAGTCGCGCGTATCCTTCGCCCGCGACTCCGCCACTTCACAGGCTGTGCTCCTTTTTTCTACTCCTACCTACCTCTTCCCCTCTCTCCCTCCCCCTTCCCTCCCTCCCTCCCTCCCTCCCTACCTCCCTCCCTCCCTCCCCTCGCGCTTGCTTGCGTTTTTATGCGTGTGCACAAACGCGGGTGGAGCACGTGCAGCACGGGAAACAAAGAATGTCTCGTGAAAGAAGAAGGCGTTATTGGAGGAGGAAAGCTGGAGGAGATGAGGCGGGTGCCGGTTAGAGAAACTGCGCGGTGAAAAGAAGGTGACTCCGAGAGAACGAGGGGAACGAGGAGGGAGGGAGGGTGGGAGGGAGAGAAAAGAGGAGGAAGAAAAAAATGGGAAAAAAGGGAAAAAGAATGGAATGGAGAGCGAAAAGGAACGTTGGAGCGGGGACGGATGAAAATGCGCGAAACGGTCCCGCAACGCGTGCAACACGCGGTAGCGTCTAAGAAAATGGAGCGGAGGTGAGAATAAAGGGCACGGATCGTCGCGAGAGAGCGAGAGAGCGAGAGCGAGAGAGAGAGAGAGAGAGAGAGAGAGAGAAGAATTCGTACGACCCGGCGCGCGTAACGAATTGTAAGCTTCGTAAACTTGGGTTTGAGTGTCGGATACGATGAAGACGGTCAAACGAGCGTTCGATATCGATCCGGGATTGATTTGTTACGCTGTGTTACGACTCTCTCGTATCGGGAGAATTGGTAACGGAGAATGATACGTGTTGCGCGATATTTTTGCGCGAGGAACATAGGGCGATCCTTTATGATTTCCCGTGATGAAAATAAACGTTGGACTATATTGGCGAGCGGCTCGCATGTATATAGTGATATTTCTGCACTTCGCAGACGTCGTTACCAGCGTCTTGAAACTTAGGATCTTTGGTTAAACCGTCACCAATAGGCAGATCGCGCGAGCTGCACGTAGATGTCATTAAAATATTAGTTATTATTATTCGAGTTGCTTAGAAGCTAATCAATTTCGTAATGAAGAAATTTTCAGAAATATGAAATATTTAGTTCTTTTTCTTATTTGAAAGAGCACAATAAGATGCTCGTTCGTTTTTTAAAACTGTGACGTGTCGTGACCTAATTAACGGACTATTCGAGAAACGGAAGGATATCGCACAAAGGATGGAGAATGAAAAAAATTCTTGAATCGCGTTTCCAACCGAATCGTATTCCGTTATATCGTTGCTTTTTTTTCTTTCTTCGCGCGTGCCGCCTAGTTTCCACGTTCCACGCGTATACCTACCTACGATGGAAACGCGCGTGTTGAACAAAAAAGGAACGAGAGAGAAGAAAGAGAGAGAGAGAGAGAGAGAGAGAGAGAGAGAGAGAGAGAGAGAGAGAGAAGAAAGAGAGAGGAAGAGGTGCCGATCCCGGTTTCGAAAGGGCGAAGAAGCAGGGCGGAGCTGCGCTCGGAAGGGTGCGCGGGCGCGTTTCACCACCATCCGTGGGGTCGGAGGTCGCGTTCAGGTGCGACGAAGACGGAAGAAGAGGGGCGCCTAGTCGAGCGAACGCACCCAGAAATGCAAAGTCGAAGTGTCGGTGTGAACCGAGTTGGCAGCCAGCAATCCTCCAAGTCGACGCGCTCGCGGGCCACGAAACGCGTATTTCCTCCTTCGTCGATTTCCACTTTCCTTCGGTGCATACGTGTGGCCCTCGCGGCCTTTCTCGCCGTCCATCGAGATTCGCGCTCGAAAATCTCGAACAGCAACTCTCGAGAGTCTAAATCGATTCGCGGATCGATCGTTCGTATACGCGCGATATACGAAGTTATGAACGTGTGCTACGAGTGTGCTACGAGTATTTGGCATGTACGGTACGCGGAAAGTGTTCCATCTCTCTCTCTCTCTCTCGTTGATCGTGATATCGATCTGGCGCCATTCGTCACCACCACGTGTTTTCGGCAACGTGGTTTCGGTGATTCGGCTGCGCCCCCACACCGGCCTCGTAATCTTTTTTAAACACTGTTTGTTGCGGTCCGAGTAATGTCAACGATCGGATCGAATCGTTCGACCACCGGTGGAGAGTTGCATAACGATCGTTCCGAATGTTGAACTCAGGCCGAGACACAACCAAATTATCGGACAAGAATGTTTATAATCGGTGCACACGTTAGATACCTCGTATCGAACCGCTACAGACTACACGTCAGCAGCAGGATGCGATAAGATCACGGCGGCCGGGACAAAGTCCGTGAATCGGTGGATCAGCATAGTCAGCGAAAGAGACCGAGCGTGGCGAACACCTGTTTCTCTAAGGTGGCTCGGGATCGTATACCTTCGGATGCATTTTTTCAACGAGCGCTGGAAAACCGTGGAACCCGCGGCATCCGACGAATTAACCCCGAATTCGGGTAACACGGTGGCGGGATGTTCGAAACGTGGCACGTTAGATCCAGCCGGTAATCGAATTACATTGCCCCATCGCCGTATACACAAGTTCTTCGAATTATATAACATTATACATCGATAAACATTGGTATCGAGCGTCCATCGACGCGTGTTCGCGCACCCGAAATTCTGCATGGGAGGCCACGTCCGCTCGAAGCCTTCCACCACCCTCCCTCCCTCCTGCCTCCCCGTCCCTTCCACCAAAGGAGCATTATCCACTCCGATTAATTAGAATGCCCATAAAGAATTATTGCAATTACGACGAAACGTATAGTTTTATCTTCGATACACTAGGCTACAGTAGCTCCGGCTAGACGGAGGATTCGATAGGAGAGGAGCCCAGAAGCGAAGAAAACGAGAGGTTGCGCTCTCGTAGGAAGAGAGGAACGCGGTGGAGAGACAGCGGCTGATCATTGGTGGACAGCGGAGCCGGATTGCTTAGGTGGTGGGGTAAGCGTGCAGGTCGACTCGGCAGGTGGGGAAGACCAGGAGGCAGAAGGTGGAGAAGGCGGAGGTGGAGGCGAAAGAGTGTAGTCGGTAGTAGTAGTGGCCCGTGGCGGTGGAGTAACGCGAAGCAACACGGCCGGGAGAAAGAGAGGAGAAAAGAAGGGGTGGAAGAAGCAAGCGGTGGTGTAACCGGCGGAGGTAGCGGCGGAGCGAAAACCGTGGCACCGAGGGAGAGACGAGTGAAGAGCCGAGGGAAAGAGTAAAAGGGTGAGAGAGGAATCGTGCGAGAAAGAGAGACGGAGACGGAGAGCGAGAGAGGAGGAAGAGGTGGAGGAAGAGAGAGAGAGAGAGAGATAGAAAGAGATTGGAGGGAGTGGAAGGAGAGAGAAAGAGAGGAAGAGAGAGAGAGAGAGAGGGAGGGAGGGAGGGAGAGAGGGAGAGAGAGCGAGCGAGGGTGGAGAGGGAGAGAGAGTCGCGAGGGTGGAGGACAAGGTGGTGGAGAAGAAGGAGACGCGGAGGACAGGAGAAGCCTCCACTGTCGGAGGACAGATCCAACGCACGTCAGGATCCCAGTCGGACGGACTGACGCTGCCGTCGGATCACCGAGGAACCGGGAACCCGGTGTACCGGAACTCGCGTGCCGGGATATGGACTCTCTTTGTGCCACCCTTCGAACCACGAGTATGATAGCATAGTGTACGCTTGGAATCACGATCGGGTTACGATTCGGGTTTTATCGTCGATCTGAAGTGAACAAGAAGAGGGAGAGAGAAAGGAAGAAGGGAGAAGAAGAGAATTTGTGGCAGAGGGATCAACGTTGATCGGTCTCGATCGGGACTGTTTTTCTTCGGAAACGGGGGAAGGGGGTGGGATAGAGTGAGATATAAATCGAGAGGATAAGATAGAATCGTGCATAAACTCGCATGGCTCGGAGGACTGTCAGCGTTCTTACAATTAGTGTTTTGTTTTTGAATTCGTCACCCGCCGTGCAGCGATGAGATCCAAGCCGGTGGCTAGAAGATTGGCACAGGGTGAGTAGTGAACTCAACATTTTTTTTTCATCTTCGTTTCTTTTTTCTTCTTCTTCTTCTTCTTCTTCTTCTTCTTCTTTCCTTCGAAAGTAATTATAATTTTTACAATTAACGGAATGATTGGATTTGGAATCCGGTATGGAACTCTCCGATATGGAACTTTAATTATCTTATTAATGATAATTATAATACGAAGCACGTGTTTGTATTTGAATAATTTTCGAAGCACGCGAACGATACGTTATTATTTGTAATAATTGAATTTATTATCGATCTCCGGTTTCGATCTATGATTCGAGAAATAATTTTTTCCTGCGAGATGAATGTATTGTCTGTTTGTTAAATTCATAAGGAGAATTCGCAAAAGGGAAGGATTCGTTACATCATATTTCTGGAGACTGCCATATTAAAACGGAAGACATTACGAGTTTTTCCGCGGAACTTACTTGACGAGGCTATAAAACTACAAGATTACGGCAAGAGTCTATATACACTAATTCTCAGGATTATCGTTTTAAAACGTACTTGTGTCTTTGCAATTCGCAATTACCTGATGTTAGCATCTATAATTCAACTTTTATTTCTACCGGATCGCGTGACCAGCCTCAAATGTTAATATTAAAATGTATCCCCAATTTGTGCTTACATTGTCCGGTAATTTGCAGCTACTCGACCCGACTCCACTGCCCATTCTTTTGAAATTTGAATTGTGACGATATTTAAATCTTAAGAAGTTGGATATTTTTTTTGAAAATTTTAAATACAATGAAACGATGCCTGAACATTATCAGTTGCGAGCATTTAACTGGACAGAAATAAGTCGAGCAATTATTGTGGCACGGTTCTGATAACATTGTCACATGCTGTTAACGTGTCATTGTTCACAATCGTCCGTGTCGTTGGAACGACACAGGAAAGACTAGTAGGCGGTCCTCGCGCTGGCGCACTCGCAACGTCGATATCATTTCTTCTTTTCCTGTATTGTCTAGTCACTCTGCTCGTCCTCTGCCTCCACCTCCTTGTTATCTGCTTTCAAAAGTCCCGCCCATTCTTCCCTGTCACCATGTTTGCCATTCTACGCATAGTCTCTCGCCAATATTACGCGCAAAATTGATCACAGATTGGCCTTTTTTATTCTCGCTTCCCTGTTTTTTTTTTCCCTTCTTTCAAAACAAAAATTACCCAAAGTCGAACTCGTGTAACTCAAAATTTGTAACTCTCTCTCGAAAAAAAAAAAGAAAAAGTCAACAAGTTCGTTCGGTACCCGCGAAACGTGGTCACAGGATGTGTGCGTCCTTTTTAATCAAGGGTCAACATTTTGAATAGTTTTCGAACGGTCAACGAATATTTCCTCTATAAGAATCGCGGATCGATCTTCTTTTGTTCTATGGTTAACAATACAAAGCATCGCTTCCCGCATAAAAGATTCGACCGTACAGGCGAGCCAACGTTAATTTATTGTTATATATTGAATGGCAGCTAACTTTTTCGACTGTGGATGGGACGATAGGTAAATTGGTGAAAGACGGTTGCGCGTCTCTCTCCCTCGTGCACGATATACTTGACATTGATAGCTCACTTTAGGCGAACAAAGGGTGTACTTTAGGTATTTCTCCCTACAATTCTCCACATTGTCCTGTATTTACCCCGTAAGATCGATCGATAAGAGAGATTATTCGATTTTCTCAACGAAGAGTATCGTTCGAGATTCTTCTATATATATATATATATATATATAAAAAACCCCATCAATGTCGAGAAATTCAGAACGAAATCATTGTCGAGGAACAAGGAACGGCGTCGTTGATTGTCTGTCACGATTGTCGGGGTGAGCATTTTGCACGGGGGATGATTTATATCGTGTTCGCGATTTATAATAAAGCCCCCGCTTCCCACGGTCTGCCACGCTTCAAAGACGGTAGGCACTTTCAAGGGATCTAGTAATCTGTAAGACAAAATCCGTTAACGCTTGACTCACGAGTCGGCGAAACAATAGACCATCCATCCACCAACTTACCCTCTCTGTTCCTTCGAGACACGGGTGGAAAGAAGTGGAAAAAGAGTGGACTCGGGGCCAAACGTACGGGGACAATTGACTTCTCACCGTGTACTTTTTTGCTATAACCAGCTTATGCATGAAATGCATCATCTCAATAGAGAAAAGGAGTTCTTCTCTCTCTCTCTCTCTCTCTCTCTCTCTCTCTCTCTCTCTCTCTCTCTCTCTCTCGTGAGAATCGCGACGAGGGAAACGACGGCGAAGGAAATCTTGAAGAAAAACCTTATCCCGTTAGGGATAGATTCGATATTTGATCTATATTTGGTTTCTGGATCTATCGTAGTTTCTTCATCGTTGAACGGAAGGAATCTCTCTCTATCTTTCTCTGTCTTCCTCGAGAGACGCATTGTGCTTGGAAAAACAGGCAGGAAATTTTCGAAACTGATAGGGAAACCGGGAGGGAAAAAGAAGAAGAAGAAGAAAAAGAAGAAGAAGAACAGTCCACGGTCTTAGAGCGAACCGCAGGAATAATCGCGGAATCCACCTACCACGCGTTTCAAAGGCGCATCATCCCATTGAGGGTTTGAGTCTAGCCGCGGCACCGGAAGTCGTATCCGAGAGGAGACAAAGCCAACGAAACATACGCGCAGAGTGGCGTGTAATGGGGTAGGGTGGCGCGGGGGAGAAAGAGGTTCTGTTTCATCGGTGCTTTTGTCTCGCATCCTGAGAGAACGCGGTTGAATAAGGAGCATGAATAGATCGGATGATCCTAAGGTAGGTCAGTCCATTCTCGTCTTGCGGGAGACTCCTGCTACCTCCGATCCCACCTCTTCTTCTTCTTCTTCTTGTACTCCCGTGCAGTGTGTATTCCACCCCCGGACAGTCCCAATTAAATACGTCTTCCTCCTCCTCCTCCTCCTCCTCCTCCTCGACCTACGTCGGCAAATAATAATAAGATCGCTGTATCTCGGAATGTCGACTGAGAAGAATTTCCTTTCGCATATTTCTGTTATCGCTGCTGGCTAGCTAGCTGGCTGACTGGCTGGCTGGCTGGCTGGTTGGCCAGGTTGAAATAGCTCGGCACAGGGGATGGATTTAAGGACACGTTATTAAGCATTACGGTTTCTCTCGAGTGACATAGTATTCTAATAATTTTCCGTCACGTACCTATGCTTTGCATACAAATACAACATATGCATAACACACGTTTGGAAGTCACGCGAAACACGATTTCAACTCGGTTTTAAATTTTTTCCTAACGAACTCGACGGTTGATGAAACGATCGCTTCGTGCGACCAAGGTATTGACCGTTATAAGTTAATTAGTCACGATCGTGCACAGAACGTACACAGAGAAGGAAAGAAGGAAGGAAGGAAGGAAGGAAGGAAGCGTAATCGGACAGTAAGAGGGTGCGAGAATGACAACGAGATCCTGGTAGAATCCTAAATATATCGTGATGTGACGTCACGAGTTTGGGAAGGTAGTGCACGGTTATTGGACGATTGGACGTGATCGATTCGAATCGTATGAATTAAAATGCCAACAATAGCCTGTGAACAACTGTGCACGCGGCCATGCAAATCCGATAACAGAAAGTAGGGAACAATCGTCTCCGCTCCTTCTTCGGTTTTCCTCTTCACCCTTTTCTTCCAGGCCCCCGCCTCCCCCTCCCTCTCTTCTCTCCCTCCCCCTCCTTCCTCCGCCCCCTCCGCCTTCCACCAACGCGGCAATAATTCCGCAAGTCTTCCTTGACTCTTTTCTTTCCCGCCTCTCGCCTCCGCCAATTAACGATAAGGTCGCTGTGTTTGTCATTTGTTTGTCGTTTCCGGTGGAATGCAATCAGGCCGGGGTGAAACAAACACGGCCAATCAGCCGCGACGGACAAACGCATCGAGAGCGGCTAGATCCCTCGGCATCGAGCCACGTTTCCACTCACGATAATGCCGATAATTGGTCGTTCAAGGTAGAATTGTTTCCCACCAGAATTTCACCTCTTCTGCCCTACGCCGAGGAACGAACAGGATTAATCGATATATGTATAATACAAACCGTGTAACCCGCCTCGATCTCGCCTGTATATACGTATATCCCGCGAATACTTCTCGATCGAGGAGTGTGTGTACACAGTGATAATTTTTTCCCTCGATCGAATCGAATAAGAGAGAAAAAAAAAAAAAAAAAAAAAAATCATCTTCCGCGCTTTGCCGCGTAATTTAGGCTTCGACCGAGCGTGTGTTGCCATCCAAAAGCACGCTCGAGCGATAAGCGTTTGCCATTGTTGCCGGAGCTGGCTATTGAACGATTAATCATCTAATTAGGCATTCATCGTGGCCGACCGGTATCACGATTCCTTTCCACCACAACGATCGTTTCCCTTGATAAATATCCACCTTCTTGCCCCTCGCCGGGAAGAGAGAACTTCTGCCAATTCGACGTCACCTCGTCCACGATTGGTCGACGTGAAACGAGCGAGGAGAAATCACGGAAGAGCGCGCCGCGTTAACTCGCGCGATTGCAAATCGACTGGTCCGGCTCCCCTGCGTCGAATCGCGGCGGCAGACAGGTATACTCGCGCCGCGCCTGAATACGACTGACACGTCGTGCCGGCGAGCTACGCGATCGCTAGGGCGTTAGAGCGAGAGCTAGAGCCAACGTTTATCCGCCTCGATATTTCGAGCTTGTACGAAAGGGAGCCGTGTCGAATACAACTGCTTCTTGTCCTTTTCTTTTTTCCTCTTTTTCTTCTTCTTCTTCTTCTTCTTCTTCTTCTTCTTCTTCTTCTCTTTTTTCTTTTTTCGATTCGAAAATTATATATCGGAACGGGCTAGGATTTTATTGGATCACTTTATATCTCTTTTTATCGTGTTACTTTACGCGTGTGTTTCTTCGTCGAAAAGAGATCGATATGAAGATTTTTTCGAACGAAGTCTCGGCCACATCAAATATTTCTATTAGAAATGAGATTGTGATCGCTTGAATTTTTCTTGATAATTTATCTACGTA